GACACGCGACTCATTTTTTTGGTTGATTTTTCTTTGTTATATTGCATTTAAATATATAAAATACATATCAAAAATATAAGTCTTTGTTTTACTATGGTTGCAAATATCAAAAAATTTCTATATGTGATACGGCACCAGAGTTAAGTTAGGGTTTTTCAAAATGCTGACACGCCGAGCTCAAAAGGTTCGCCATCACTGCTCTAACCACTGAAAACACTGGCCAGGGCAGCTGCAACCTTTGATGTTCCCACCAGTAATGTAGGAGGACTCCAGTTTCTCCACATCTTCCTCAACACTTGTGTTTTTGTTGTTTTCATGAAGGCCTTGTTTTGGGCCTTCGAAATCCAATGCTTGGGAACTTCCTCAGTTCCTCTTTCTCACCCACATCTGATCTATGAGCAAGCCTTGCCCACCCCACCTTCAGTGTTATTCAGAATCTGGCTTTTCCCACTCCCTAGCACCCAACCAGCCTCAGCTCCCATCATTGCTGGCTTAGAGGTGCAGTTACCTCCTCCCTGAGCTGTGGTTTCCACCCTCAACCCTGCAGTCTCTTCTCTGCCATAGCCTCCAGAGGACACCTGTGAACATCAGAGTCAGGGCATCTTCCTCCTCTGCTCACAGCCTTTCAGAGCTCCTACCTCACTCAGGATAAAAGCCAGCCCTCCTTGTGGCCTACCAGGACCTGCACAATCACCTTGTCACCTTCCTGCCCTCACCACCCCGTCCTCCCACTCACTTCACTCCAGCCACATGGGCCTCCTCTTTACTCTCCCTCAAACACACCATGCAGTTGACCCCAGGGCCTTTGCACTGGCTATTCTCTCTTCCTAAAATATTCTTCCCCAGGTACTACATAGCTCCACCTCATCCTTCAGCATTTATTCAAATGTCTCCTCGTCTGAGAGATCTTTCCTGACTACCCTCCCCAAAATAGCAGTCAGTCCTCACCCCGTCACCATACTGCATCCTCTTCACCCTGCTGGATTATTCTTTATATCGCTCATACCTCCATCAATTATATATTCATTTCTCATCTGCCAACCCCACTGGAACACCAGCTCCAAGAGCAGGCTCTTGCCTGCTTTGATCATAGTCCTATCCTATTTCTACAACAAGGCCTGGCACAATATATATTTGCTCACTGAATAGTTGCATAGACATAAGTGTGTATATCCTATATAATAAAAGGCTAATATGCAAACCGACCAAACGGAAGAACGACCAGTTGCTATGATGCACACTGACCACCAGGGGGCAGATGCTCAACGCAGGAGCTGCCCCCTGGTGGTCAGTGTGCCAGTAGCCGGGCTTACTGAGGGACATCCCCTGAGGGTTCTCGGACTGTGAGAGGGCGCAGGCCGGGCTGAGAAACTCCCCCCCGCCCGAGTGCATGAATTCTGTGCACCAGGCCTCTAGCGTAAATATGTGTGTGTGTGTGTGTGTGTGTGTGTGTGTAGTAGGTGCTCAATAAATACAATAATCGATGTTCACATAACATGTATTATGCACCCAAATGGTGTCCTAAACGCATTCCACTTATTATCACATCGTTTCCCCTCCTCTATCCAGCCCTTTCAGCAGGTGCCCTCATTTTGTAGATAGGGAAACTGAGGCAGGGAGAAGTTACGTTGCTTGTCAAGGTCACACAACTCCAAAATAGGAGAGCTGGGATTTGAACCCAAACAGAGCAGTTGTTGGTATGGCTTGGGCCCAGCCCTATGTACACCTCCCCCTACTCCCCCATCTCTTCTCACAGTCATTCCAACAGAACCTGGACTGTGGCAGTGCCTACTGGGCAGAGCTGGGTGACCATCCCCCGGGAACAGTTCACCACATCGGATGAACTCCTTGTCTGGGCGGCCGTGGCGGGCCAGCCTCCCTGGCCCCCAGTCTTCGTGAACCTGGAGACACAAAGTAACAGGCAGGAGGGCGGGTTGCTGTCTAAGGGTGGGTGGTCCTGAAGCCCGACTCAGTGCACCCTGTCTCCCCCTCCTCAGTGAAGCCAGAAGCCCCGCAACTGGGCCCTGACGTGGACTTTTCAGAGGATGATCCCCTGGAGGCCACTGTCCAATGGTCCCCACCTGCATGGCCACCGCATAAGGTCCTGGTCT